TCAGATCTGGGACAGTTAATGTTTGCTGATGGAGAGAGAGAGGGAGCGAGAGAGAGCGAGAGAGAGAGAGAGAGAGAGAGAGAGAGAGAGAGAGAGAGAGAGAGAGAGAGAGAGAGATAAAGAGAGAGAGAGAGAGAGAGAGAGAGAGAGAGAGAGAGAGAGAGAGAGAGAGAGAGAGAGAGAGAGAGAGAGAGAGAGAGAGAGAGAGAGAGAGAGAGAGAGAGAGAGAGAAAGAGGGAGAGAGAGAGAGATGGAGAGAAAGAGAGTGAGAGAGAGAGAGAGGGAGAGAGATCAAGAGAGAGAGAGAGAGAGAGAGAGAGAGAGAGAGAGAGAGAGAGAAAGGACATCTCGTCATTCTGGGGTTCTCACAACTGCTCAATCCCGACTACGACCTGACGTACGCTCCCATCGGCAGCTATGTAATTGCTCTTCTAAAACTGCTCGTTGCTGCAGCATTTGACTGGGAGCTAATGCAGCTCAACATAACATATGTCTTTCTCAGTACACCCATTGATAGTCCTCTCTACATGAAGTAAGCGAAATATTACGACGACGGCACTGGCGGAGCTTGCCTATTGAAGGAGAATCTCTCTGGACTCGAGCTGTTAGAATACTAGAATGAATAGAAAGAAGAGAGAACAAGGGAGATATAGGGTTTGGGTTGTACTCACTAAGAATACACACCTATTCTAGCCTATAACTTCTACATGCAAATGTATGTATAAGTTGACACACCCCCTGGGCTAGATAAGGGGTAGTGCTGAGCAAGAAGCACACAGCTTAGGGTGGCACTACAAGTCCAACCTCTAAGACAGGGGTCCGAAGACCAGTCAGCAAGAGTACAAACAAGACAGGAGCAAACCAGGGCGGCACTATTAGTCCGGCCACTGGAAGAGAAGCCACAAGGCCAATCTGAAAGATATGTATAAAGAGGAGAACACAATCAAGGTCCTAACAAGAGAGAGTCTACAGGAACTAGTCCAAGCTCCAAGCAGTGCCGCTGATGATCTTTAGGCGCAAGCGCCTTCGTAAAGATATCAGCTGTGTTGGCACTGGAGGCCAAATGTACGACGCAGGCCTAACGGTGCTGCTGTAGCTCACGCAGGAGGAAGTACCGCAGCTGGATGTGCTTCGCTCTGCCCTCGAGTCGAGGCTACTGACACAGGAGGATCATGGCCCTGCTGTAAGCATACAGGACCGGGGAAGAGCTAGGCCGCTCACCTAAGTCAATGAGCAAAAACGTCAGCCAGCGGAGCTCCTGTGCCGCCATGGCACCGGCGTAGATCTCAGCCTCACAGCTAGACTGGGCAACAGACGAGGAGCGAGTGGATCTCCACAACATGGCACCTGAACCAAGGCTAAAGTAGTAGCCCTGGTAGGACTGAGGGTCTCAGCGTCGTCTGCCCAAGAAGCATCTGTATGCCCAGTAAGAACCACCAGCTTGCGTCCTCCTAGCACTAGCCCTATGCCCAATGTACTCGCTAGATAACACAAAATCCTCTTGGCAGCCGACCAGTGCTGTGGCCGGTGTCTGTCTGTGGCCACAAAGTGAGCCAGGATGCTGAGAGGGTATGCGAGATCGGGACAAGTGCAAGTCATCAGGTACATGAGGCAACCCACCAGCTCTACGTAAGGACCACTGGGCTCTATTGACTCCTCAAGAACTGGAGCCGAGAGCCTGTGGTTTACTGGCAGAGGTGTGGGCTGTGCGGAGGAAAACTGAAGACCGAACCTCGGAAGGACCTGGCGCACCAAGTGTGACTGTGTGAGAGTGATGGTGCGCGCTGATTTGTCCCTAGAAATCTGCACACCAAGGTAGCGGTGCAGCTCTCCTAGGTCAGTGCAGGTGTGTCTCTTCAGCAGCTCAGCCTTCATGGAGGCCAGTATGACTCTGTCAGCAGTAGCTAGACCAGGTTGTCTACGTAGACAAGGATGTAGAACGGAGTCTGGCCAGCACAAACGAAGAGCGAAGGGTCTGCAGAGGACGAAAAGAATTGCAGTTCAGCTAGTATAGCACAGAGCGTGTCCTGCCACTCATGGGGCGCCTCTCGCAGGCCGTAGACCGGGCGCCGGAGGAGCCACAGGGTCCTAGGAGGGAAGGTAGCGGTGAAGCCCTGCGGTCGGCGCAGGTAGACCTGCTTGTGTAGGCTGCCCTGAAGAAAAGCAGTGGAGAAGTCTAGAAAGTGGAGCACATAGTCACGCTGTGCTGCTACGTGTAGCAGCGCCCGAAGAGTAGTCATCTTCGGGTTCGGGGCGAAGATCTGAAAGAAGTCCACCCCCTCTCGCTGACTGAAGCCTCTAGCCACGTAGCGCGCCTTGAACACGTGCGGCTCTCCAGGGGGGCGATTCACCTTGAAGAGCCACCGGCCATCGATTACGTTCACCCCATGTGGGGGAACTACATCAACGTAGGTGCCAGTGGATCTCCAAGATGCCATCTCCTTCTCCATGGTAGCTATCCACTGAGAGGCCTAGGTTCCCAAGGTCGCCTCAACGTAAGTGCGAGGGGTCGAGATGTCAAGGGCGTCTGGGTCGCCCTCAGGGACTAGCAGCATGAAGCAAAGATGGGTAGCAGCCTCGGGCAGGAAAGCAAGCTCGTACTGCCTGTCCTCTAGGACGTCACTACCAAGGGCAAGAGCACCCCCGACGGACGGAGGATGGACAAGGTCAGAGACCAGGGTGGTGGCGTAGTCAAGGCAGTGGGTAGAGGTGAAGGCAGCGACAGCAGCGACAAGAGCGTGAAGACTGGAGACAGAAACAGACGGATCGGTAATGAGGGAGGCAAGGACCCGAGGAACAAGAGGACGATCGGCACGAAGGTAGTCAGACTGAGGGGGAGGCGCGACAGTGAGCGACGATGGAAGAGGCAAGGGGAGGAGGGGAGGACGAGACGTGTGGGAACGAAGCAACATAGGGTGAGAACGCGGAATAAGAGAGACAGGACGAGCACGAGAAGGACGGTGAGACCAGACGTGAGACGGAGGTGTCGGGTCAGGAGACAAAGGAGGAGTAACTGGAGGGGAACGAGGTGGGAAACGGGTCGGGGACGAGTCCGGCGGAGGAAAGGCCAAGCAGGCGAAAGGCGGACACCGGTGGCGACTGCTGCTGCTGCGGCAGCTCGACGCCAACACCTGGACCGCCAACTGCACCGCGGCCACCTCCAGAACACTCCACGCCAGCACCCCTAGAGCAAGAACCCTTTCCAGCACCAGTGCCACCCCCTAGCCTGCCGGGACAAGCCACGACAGGGACCCCAGGACTAGCACCCTCCTCAATGCTAGCACCCTAGGCACCCTCAGGCACTCTTGAGGTGCCTGAGGTGCCTAGCACCCCCTAGCACCCTAGGCACCCAATGCCTGTTTTTGACCTACCCCAGGCACCCTCAGGCACCTCAAGAGTCCACGGACGGATGCTGCTGCTGTTGCTGCTACGGAGGCTGCTGCGGCGGCAACGGCTGCTACTGCGGTGGAGGAGGAGATACCGGGGGAGAGACAGGCGGCGAGAATTGCGTTGCCAGCCCACTTGAGTCAGATGACTCCTCGATGGGGACAACCAACGGTAGGGGAGTGACGTGAGACACACCAGATGGAGCAGGACGGGGAGGGAGGTGAGCAGGGCCTACCGGGGGAGTGGGAACTAGAAACAGGGGAGGGGAAATCGTGAGACCTTGGTGGGGAAAGCAGTGGTAAAAGGAGACAAACTTATAGAAAGTAGCTTAACGGGAGTGAAAGAAGCGGTGAGACAGCGGGTGGTAAAAGTGCCAGTCTGATGAGTCAAGAGGGAAACCGACGAAGACAAAGATGACATTGCGGGCAGTGAGCTTGTCCGCGCCAGAGGCACGAACGTGAGCGAGGCAGTCCCAGACGTGGAACGCGGACGCGTCACCAGGGAACCCGGTCCAAAGAATGTTCTGGGAAACCTACGGCCGCTGGGAGTGCGGCCAGAGGTTAAGCTGGTGAGCGGCGTAGCGAACGGCGAATGGCCATAGAAAATGGGGTGCACCGGCATGAATCATGGAGGTACGAGCCATCTCCATGACCAAGCCAATGCGTCGCTCAGCGACCCCATTCTGCTGCAGGGAGTCTGGTAGGGTGTACGACTGGGTGATGCCCTCCGTATGAGAGAACTGTCCAAGCCGACCACAGGCGAAATCCCCGTCACGGTCGGAGTGGAGACACAACACAGGGAGATCGCGGTGGAGGCGCGCAGCTACAACCCATGGGATAAGAACGCCGGGCACGTCGGCCTTCTGCTCCAAGAGAAACACCGTAGTGTAGCGCGTGTGTTCGTCCACGAGCACTAGAAAGTAGCGCTCGCGACGTGGTCCAGGGATGGGGGCTGGGCCCCTGTCGTCTAGGTGTAGGGTCTGGAGGGGTGCGGTGGCGGGACGAAGCGAGGAGGAGTGAGGAGCACGCCACAGCCGGCCCTCAACGCTGGGCGTGCACGGCATCGCAGGCAAGGGAGGGAGGGCAGGAAGCGACGCAGGGAGACCTAGGACGAGACCGTGCTGAGACATGTGACGCAGACGCGGGAGTGCGAGGTGACCTAGGCGGTGGTGCCACAGAAGCGACAGGTGAGTGAGCGACCGACACGAGCACGCAGCGACGATCTGGGTAGACGCAGGACCTGGGGGGGACAGTCCACCCAGGCGGGAAGCAGTGTCCAGCGTAAAGAGACTAGACACCAGGTCCATGGGGAACGTCGCAAGGGGGGAACCTGAGGCGGCCTTGGTACAAACGGCGTACCGCTCGTGACCCGAGAACGTAGTGGTGACGCCGAGGTCCTGAAGTTCCGAGATAATGAGGGGATGTGCAGGCATGTAAAGGAACCCGAGGGAACCGCTGGACAGGGAAGGGTAGTGTAGCTGCGAGCAACTACTAGACCAGAGGAGGGGTCAGCAAGTGCGATAGTGGCAGGCGCGGCAAGCGAGATAAGCGCAGCGTGGTCGCGGAAGAAGCAGGCAGACGCACCGGAGTCAAGTGTGAAGGACAGCGAAGTAGTAGCGGCGAATGAAGGAGAAGCAAGTGTAGAGCCTAGGCTAGACAAAGCAAACAGTCCTACGCCTGACGCAGCAGGGGTGTCTGTACTACATACAGGTGCTATGCCTAAGCTAGAGAACACAGGGAAATATGATCCGAACACACTAGAAGCTTCAACATACAGAGAATGCAAGGCAAAACTAATCTGATCCATGTCTAGGTCAAAAACAGGCACACCGTGGCGCAGCAGACTGGGCCAGTCAGGGAGGTCTGGGCCCGGGCCGAAGCGGCGACGGAGGAGGTCATCGAGGCGGCGGAAGCAGCGAGCGGTCGGGTGCGGGCGGCGGCAAACAGTGCCACGAAGGGGCCCGGTCTGGAGCTGGTACTGGCAGCCCACAGCACCGAAGCTGCCGGTAGATGCCGAGCTGCGAGGACCGCCACCTCGGCCACCACCTCTAGGAGCTCCCGGCCACCCCGGCGGGAGGCGGGCCCACAGCTGCTGCTGCTGGTGGTGTTGCATCTGCTACTGCGACTGCTGCGGCTACTCCTGGACACCTTCCC